AAAAATCAAAACTTTTTTTTTTTCAGTGGCCCTAATCCTCTTCCGTATTTCGTATTTAAGGTGCCAGAAACCGTGTTTGTTTGTTTTTTCCCACCACCAAAAGTCATGAGAATCTGAACCACATCTGCAAATTTAAAGTTGGGTGTCCAGTAGTGCGCTACTGTAACACTCAGGACTTAAAGCTGAGTTTTACAGTAGCTTAAAGCTGTTGTAGAAAAAAAAAAACATGCATCTGATTATTTTGTTATAAAATAATGAGATAAAGTTTTAGCTTTCTACATTCCTGTGTCTATTTATTGTCTCAAGACTGATAATCACAGATTTTTAGTTCCAGACCTCTAACCGCTGAAATAATATTAACTAATAAATGCTAAAAATAAAAAGACATGCTTCACCAACATAAAAAAAACCTCCTCTTTCTACATTAATTATTTTATGTAACATAATAGCTGACAAATTTTGTCTGTTTTCTGTATTCTAAGCAATGAAAACAACATTTATTTCCTGCTTCATTGATAAAACCCGTCGGGGTCAAGCTCAGGTGAAAACCGGTCCTCTCCGCGTTTCTGAACCCCACAGTACCTTGTGCTTGACGATCTGTTGGCTGATCTTGGCCGTTTGGGTTCCCATGGGCTCGGCGGAGCTCAGGCGTCTCTCGGTAGCGCTCAGCCATTCTCCGAGCGGCTCCAGGGCTTCGTGGAACTGAAGAGCCAGAACCTGCAGCTCCTCTAGTTGCCGTTGCCTGAGAAGCGATGAAGGAGATGAAGACAGATGAGGACGAGCACTTTTATTGGTGTTTTATTGCTTTGGCTGGCTTGTTTCTAGTCACACAGCTGTTCCTCTCTCTGTAAACCCGTTTTATTAAACATTCATGAAGCTTTTATTACATTTAAGTTCATCTGAAGCTTCTTATAAATTGATTTGTCAGACACAAATCAGTTTTAAAAAGAGCTGAAGTGTTATTTCACGTGTTCATGAGTTTGTCATTGTAAAGCAGAGCTTCAGACAGTTAATCAGATTTCATGCTTTCTAACATGATGTAAGGCTTCTCTGTGCAATCAGACTAAACCCGTCGATGCATCTCTCCATAAGCAGCCCTACTTTACTGCACTTTCAGTGTTTTGAAAGCATTAATCAAAGATAAATGACATTTCCCCACAGGAGTCCAAACGTATAGAAACATGTTTCAATAATTTTCAGTCAAACCCGATAGAAGAAACCAGGAAATAAGCTGGAGATGCTGAGATGTTGCTGAGTCTCTTATTTGAATTCTGAAAAAGTCTGACGAGCTTCTTTCACAGAACGAAAAAGGTTCCTAATTGGCGGTCGACTGAAACAATCCAGATTAGGGATGCACGATATTGGCCGATATCCGATATGCCGATATTTTAAAAATCATGTAGTCGA